CAACTGCTTTTGAACTGCTTCAAGGAGAGACTATCTTTACTAAACTGGAAGTCTGTAACACTTATCACCTGGTCAGAATTAAGGTAGGAGACGAATGGAGAACAACATTCAACACCCTTTTGGACATTTTGAGTATCTGGTTATGCCAATTTGTCTGACCAATGCCCTTGCAGTGTTTCAGGCCCCGATCAACGATGTGCTACAAGATTTCAATAATCACTTTGTGTTTGTATATCTAGATGATATCCTGATCTTCTCTAAGTCTCTCCAGGAGCACTAGAAACATGTCCGTCTGGTTCTCCAGCTCCTCTCAAAAAACTGTTCCTATGTGACAGGAGAAAAATGTGTTTCTGTTAGTGCTGTCAGCGTTAATCTTGTTAAAATTATGTTAATGCCATAACCGCATTAATGCGGTAAATCTCCGTTAGCAAGTTAACAGAGATTCACCCCGTGCGGTTTGCCCCATTGTAACGTGCGGTGGAGATGAAGCCAGCCGCGGGGGTGTGCAGGTGGATAGCGAATGAGCAACAGCTTCTGACTTTCCAAAAAGTACTCATTTATTTACAATATCAAAAATAAAAGTGCTACCTCTACCACACATTACTAAAGCGCACACTAGTCCGCGTGCACACGGGAGCATCCATTACAGGAGGAGTGCGAAGAAGAACAAAAAGGGGGTGACACACCAGTCATGAGACAGGAGGCGCCGCCATGTGGTGATACACTGCATTACAATAGCAACTGTTACACCATGCGCGGGGCAAACCGCGATAATTCGCTAACGGAGATTTGCTGCGTTAAAGCGGTTATGGCGTTAACGTCATTTTAACGGGATTAATGCTGACAGCACTAGTTTCTGTGTCTCTTTTGGGATTCATTGTGGGAAGAGAGCAACTGCAAGCAGACCCTGTAAAAGTAAAGGCTGTGGTCAACTGGCCTGTACCCTCAGAAATCTACATCTGAGGGTAGATTTCTGGTAAAACCCAGAAACATCTGAAAAGGTTTCTGGGTTTTACCAGCTTCTATCACAGGTTTATTCGTGGTTTCAATTGGAGATGGCACGATACCACTTTTTTATGTCCGATACCGATACCGATATTATAAATTTGGATATCTGCCGATACCGATATGAATCCGATATAGTGTGCTTTTTAATCAATAAAACGTTTTAATATCTTGCTGCATTTTGTATAAGTTCATACTCAAGTATAAATAAACAACAACACTAAAGCTATTCTGTTATACCTGTATGTAAAAAATACACTACACCCAAAATATTTCATAGTTCAGCAACACTGATCAATCTAATAAACCACCCCCCACCCTCCACCTCATAATGCTTAATTGACGTAATCAACTTTAATTTGATGCAGTGTGAAAAAAAAAAAGCACAGCATCAAATTATTTTTCTACAATATTTAAATAGATTCAACATCTTTCTTCAACAGAATTGCAGACTGCACAGATGGAAAAAGTACTATAGCTTACTAGGGTATATTAGACTTAGGGATGGGTATCGAAAACCGGTTCTTGTTGAGAACTGGTTCCCAGTGTTTCAATTCCTTGGAATTGTTTGCCATTTTTGCAAACGATTCCCTTATCGATTCCAGTCGCCCCGAATGACGTCACCACGTTGCGGAG